TGACTGTAGTTATGTCCAGTTCATGGGAGAAGAGGGAAAAATACATCTGGATATGTTGGAGTAGTCATTTGCATTCTTAATACTAATTTTTTCAGTCTTTTTATTTCATCTAGTTTCTTAACTATTCCTTTCAATTATCTTTAAGCAGTGAAATACTTATGCATAGATTTAAGCTTATGAATTGCGAGTCCATGAAGTCAGTGCAGCTCATTATGTGCTTTAAGCAGCACTTTTTATCATAGGATGCAGTACCTGATGTGTTTCTCGTATGATTCAGGAATTCAATAAAAATTGAGTACTGTGACCAATCTTGAGAAATACAAGGACATCAGATTATTTACAGACTCAAATCTTCATAGAGATGTTCATCAGTTAATATGTTGTAAGTCAGAAATTCCCAAGACTGTGTTCAGTAAAGTTTCCATTTCACAACCTTGCAAATTTTGGAAAATTTGATACAACCCTAGTGGATAGTAAAAGTAAATATAGCAAAACTAGAAAGGATTACTTGTTTTTTTCACTTCTCACTGAATGCTAAAAAACTTTTAATAGCTCCCGGCTCTGTCAGAGATTCTTTTTTTTCTTTTTAGGATTAGAATGAGGGTCATTTGCATTTAGGAAAATATTTCAAGTCTAATATTCTCAAAAGTGTGGTTTTTTTTTTTTTTAATTTTTATTTTCATACCATTATTTCAACATAAGCCCCTTTAGGTTTCTCTCATGCTTTGTTCAATTCAGTATCACTTTTGAATTTAATCAATGTACAGCAACTAATCAATATTAAATGTTTTTAAACATAATTAAAATGTAGAGTAAAGGTTATGTAGCACTAGTTGTTGTAACACACACTTCATTTTCTTTTACAGCCTGGTACCATTCTGCTTTTCACTGCTTTGTGCTTATTTTCTTTTCAAAGTTTTTTTTTTTTTTTTGGACATGTTCAATTCACTGCTACTAAAATATCATTTCAAATAAAACTTCAAGAGGCAAACTGGATTCTGAAAAAGTTGTGTTTATTATTTCGCTGAATAAGGTTATATGCTCCTTGGTATCCCAAAGCTCTTCCTCAAGTATTTTGTTTTTAGTATTGATTCATTTTACCCATAGTGACTGATAATTTTAGAGCAGTCTTTCATAAACACCTTTGTATATGAGGATGTTACCAGTGGGAGAAAGAGTTCCACATAGCCCGGAAGAATTTACTCAATATTTTTGTCATGTAGAGAACATGTGACTTCGTGAAAACATCAGTAGATGTTTTGTCTTCAGGTTTAAATATACCTTAGAGAAACAAGACTGCTTTTTTTTTTTCTATTTCCAAGGAGTTTTTCCAGTCACTTTATTTCTAATATACTTGTAAACTATATTGTAAATTCTGCATTGTATTGGCACATCCTCTAGAATTTGATTTGGGGAACACATATTTGTTAGAAATCGTTATTGATTTCAAATTATAGACCATTGCCTAAACCCAAAGTGTTTCACCATAGATGTGGGAAGCACTGCCATAACAGCAACAGCAGGTGTCTACATTATTGGTTTAGTATGCAGAGTAATGCAGTTCTAGAGTAAATGCCCTGGTTGTCCCAATTTCCTGGGCTTTGTTTCAGTTCACTGAGTATTTGGTATTGACCACATAATGCTCCTTCTCTCATTTACTTATGTGGACAGCCTTGATTGTTTTTAGAGACTGCAAGCAGGATATAATTGCTTTGTGCCCTTAAACTATAAAATGTATTGGCTAACACCCGTAAGGTAGCTGGGGATATTGCAGTATTCATCACCCCTGTGAAATGAGCAATGAGTCTTTGCTGACCTGTCAGTCAACAGTTCGATGAGAAAGGTTCGACCTCCATTGCTCCCTCGAAGGGAATGGTCTTCAGTGCTGCGAAGTTACAATCCTACAGCTATCTGGTTTTCTTTCTTGAGGTTTTATACCTTTTCATATTGCTACTTTTCCTTTTTAAGCCTTGAGTTGTTAACTAGCTCTATCGCAAGAATTTTACCTGTGTCTGGAATTTAACCTTTCCTTTTGTGCATAAATAAATAGTAGTCTATGTATTTTATTATACCTTTTGTTAGAACCAAGTAGTTTTTTTGGAAGTCTTGGACACCATTGCACAACTGTGCTGTTGTGTCACTAAGCAGTGGATCACAGATAGATGAATATCCAGGAGGATGGCGATACCTACCTACCTGCCTGCAAATCTTCACCATACACTCTTCCATCAGGATCTCAGCTTTCACACAAACATTTTCTGGCTTAGTATGCTTTGCTTTCTTACCTTACATTTTTCTCTTTTGATCTCTTACAGAAATTCTTTCCAAACTCATCTCTCACATCCCCATATCTCTTTCTTTACTGTGCTTTTTTCTGTATTGCTGTTTCTAACTGATCTTCCCAATAGCAACAGCGGCTTTGACCACCCAGCAGAGCCAACATGAGTGCCTCAGGAAAACAGCACTGCCTGCTGCCCACGTATGCCATACTCATCACATCTGTGGCTGCAGATCAGCTGACTGGTACTTGTTGAAGCATAAACAAACACATATGCCTTGCTGCAGAACGTTGGAGCACGAATCCTACTGCAACCCCCACAAAGACAATCTAATATCAGAGGATTGGCTTATTAGGGTTGTCCTCCTGAAGGAGGTTGAGAACCCACTGTCCCTGTGTTACAGTTGTTCAGTTGATGTCCAGCCTTTACATGGATTTCAGTTTCAGGGACCACTGCATTACCTGTAAGCAAGGTCTGCTTCTGGGTATTGTGGCCTCTTACAACTATTACTGGCAGCAGGAGTGCATCACTGTGCGGCACTGGTGTGCCTTAGGATGGGCTGCTTAGGAGCCCACAAAACAGAAAGTTTTGTGTAACAGTTTTCCTTAGGCAGCTTCTCTTCACTTGAGAGCATTTAGACTGAAAGCCCAGTCTAACTGATCTCAGTTAAAATCCCTGAAACCCTTACGGTGTGGGTATAAGGAGCTTCAGCACCAACTGCTTTGATTTGTGATCTCTCTCTGTTCTGCCTCATCACACATACCTATTCTGTTCTGGTTTTGGCTGGGACGGAATTCATTAATTTTGTTCTTAGTTCCTGGTACAGTGCTATGTTTTGTATTGAGTATGGGAATGACGTTGATAACACACTGGCCAAAGGAATATTCCGTACCACAGAACATCATGCTCAATATATAAACTGGAGGGAGTTGTCTGGGAGCTGCTAATCACTGCTCAGGGATGGGATGGGCATTGGTGATGAGGAATTGTGTTGTACCTCACTTTTTTCTCTTGGATTTTATCACACACTATCTCCTTTCCACTACTATTATCATATTATACTTTACTTCAATTCTTAAACTGTTCTTATCTCACAAGATTTACCTTTTTTTTCAGTTATTCTCCCCATCCCAGTGCGGGCTGGCAGATAGTGATCTGTGGGGTTTGAAAGGAGGGTTGAGCAGGTGGCTGCATGATACATAGTTGCCAGTAGATTTAAACCACAACAACTTGGTAATACAGACATAATCAAAATTTCTGCACTCACTTCTGAGTCAATCACACACATTGGGCAAGGTGTGCACCCTTTGAATTTATCCTTTTCTACTTTCCTGCAACTGGAATTTCAAACACACCTCCTTCCTTCTACCTCCAATTCAAGTATGCTTCCACTTTTCTAGAACAGCCCTAACACACACGCTGAATTAAAAATTGTTCATGTGTATTTCACTATCGGTATGTATATTACTAATATCTCAAATACAAGTTTAGTATTGAGATATGCAACCTAATGCTCAGAACCTCTAGCAAAGTATGTACCCAATATAGGCTACTTTGTATTGCTTTGTAATGGTTTTGAACAGCTTTAATTCAATTTCTGTACATAGATGTCTCTTCTCTATACCACCTATTGCAAATTGTATGCATATTTTTAGTACAAAGTAGGATGAGAGGTGGTGTAAAGACCTTCAGTGCAACTTGTAGCATGTTATTTAAAACAAATAGTGAAATATTTCCTAGGTATTGACTAATGAACTGCTATCTTTTATCTGTGAAAAGAGTGATGAAAAATCTATTAGAAAAAAAAATTAATTTTAAAAAAGCACTATTTTGTACCAAAAGTAAATTTATAGTGGCAACAGCTGTATTGCTGAAATTGTGAGAATATTCTATGCAGTTTTTCTTTCTTTTTTTACCTCTATTTCCATCTCTTATAATACCACCTTTGTTAACATTTGTTGCATTCTTCTAAGCCTCAAGTTGTGACTTGAAAGATCTTGTAAAAGACTAATAGGTCTTACTTAATACTATCAGTCTTTGCAGGGTCAGAACCTTACTTTCAATTAAGTAATACATTTCATGAGATAAACATCCTTGAATTCCACAGAAAAAATAAAGAGCTTAAAAGTTAGAGAATACACCTCAAAAAATGTCTTTCTTTGTATCTGTGCAGAATTGTTTGCAGTTTCATTGTGTTATTCCCATTAACTCTGTAGGGCAAGAAACATGCAAATTGCACATTGGAATAACATTATTCTTGGGAACAAAGATAGCTTAAACTTCATGTTAAAGAGTTATATTAAATTCTAGGCACAACCTCTTTAATTACAGCAGTCCCTGTAAATTTGTTCAGGGGGAAAGGAATTGCTAAGTAGTTTCAGAAATTCCTGCTTCCCTTTTGTGGAAGAATAATGAAAAGTTTGAATCACATTTTCCACATAATTTAATGAAATCCTTCATTAGTGAGAAGTGACATTTGCATTCCACACTAAACAAGTTCTTTGTGCATGGAAAGTAGCTCTCTTAATTTGTTTAGAATTGCTGGGAATCTATTACCTTTGTAGGATGAATACTGACTGCTGTGCCGTTGGTATTTTCACAACCAAATCAGTTTCAAATGAAGATTACTAACAGCATGTTAAACCAATTGCTAGAAGAGAATATAACATTTTTTTTCAGTACTGCTATCAATTAAAATCTACTCCTTCTGTAATCCCACAGCTGAACAAACAGGAATGTTATTTATAGGAGATGCAATAATACAGGTCAGTAAACATTCACTTTTTTCCACAGACTTTTGTTTCATACTTACTTTTATTTCAGTAACTAATTTACACATTGTGAATCATTTTCTCCCTATCATATCTGTTTTTAGGTTAATGGTATAAATGTAGAAAGTGCTACCCATGAAGAAGTGGTAAGTCATTCCACTTTGATTTTTTTATTGGTGTACAGAATATCTTATGCCCAAAGTGTTCTGTCTCTAGCTTTGTTTCAAATTAATTTACTCTTTTTTACTATAAAGATAGTGCTATAGTCAGATTTGTCATATATGTGATTAATAAAAATTTTCCAGTTATTTCATTCATTTCTGAAATATAGTTTCCTACAACATTTGGCCTAAACCAAAACAAAATAATTTATTGAGTAGTGGTTAGTTTTTTACTGATTTGTTTGATTTATCACATTGACTGTATGAGGATAAAGCCAGTTCACATTCAGTCCATGTGCAGTGCTTTTCCGGTCTGCAGTGCAAGGCAGTATAGATAAAAATTGTTACCCCCTGTTGACTGTTTATTGGCAGTTATCAGTTGATTCACTGACAACTGTATCTCAGAATAGCATCTGTAGCAACCATAAATGACATGGGCTTTGACAGCCTTATCAGCAAGGCAGAAATTACATGGCCAGAGGAACTAAACTTGCTTTTATTACTTGGAGGTGATCTCTCTAGGTCAAGATAAAGTGCAGCTGCATGATCTTGCAGTTCTTTTCTTGGTGTTGATTAATACCATCAGGCTGAATCTCTTACAGACAATCTCAGTAAAGTACTGAGTCAGGTCTATGGTGTATTGATGAACTGCCCTCCTGCTGCTTGTATTGTTATTGCACATAAAAAACCCTCTAAACTTGATGAAAGTTATTCCTCACAAAATGGTAAGTTACATCCCTTAAGGATTGTTTTTCAGAACCAAGAAGTGCTCCAGAACTGTTGATGTAACACAGCAGAGGTGAGGAATCAAAGAGAAAAGCATAGTGCTGCTCCTCACCCCATACATGGGAATTCAATGGAAGCATTACGCAAAATTTCCTAAAACAACTGTAGGCCATATGGCTGAAGGAAACTCAGAAAGATCTCAGTGGACCAGGAGATAGATCTGCAAAGAGACTTTTCTGCTACCACAGCCTGTTACCATAATCAGAGTGGGGTTGGGTAAACAGGTCAGGTGGTAGAGGCTGGTTCTATGAGATTTGAGATAAGGTGGGCTGTTGCCAAAGTTCCTGAGAGAATGGAAGATTTCTTATTTTTTACTTCTATCAAAATTCTGTCTTTGCATTTTTATGAAATAATAGTAAGATAAAGTTCTCTTTATTTGAATATGGTGGGTTTTCAGTTCGAAAGAAATGCTTCAGAAGATGTTTGGGTACTTAGAAACACCACTGAAGAAGGCAGTATTATAAAACATATTAAGCTATTAATATAATAGCATAGTGATTAAGGGTAGTTGTCCGGAAAGCAGGAAGTTAAGGATGAAGAACTCATCTAACTTTTAGAAAATCATACCTACATCTTCTACCTCTGTAAAGAGCGCCCTATTTTCTAAATGTCACTCAGATTAGAAGAGAGGTGCTCCAGCACTTCTGTTCAAAAGGCAGTGTTCGAGCCTTCTGTTCAAACCTCAGCAGTGAGGCCTGGGTAGTCTCAATTCACCATGGGTTCCAGCTTACACAGCCTTGTTAACATCACACAAAATACTTAATCAGTGGGAGCCAATCAAAGGTTATTGAGTAATTCTTTTGACTTGCTTTATTTTCATCCGGCACCATGATCTCTTACATATTCAGTCATCTACTTCAAGGTGGGACTTCTGAACCATCATCCTTCAATACTGTTTGAGCACACTTCCTGCTACTTGCATTCTGTTTGCGAGAGACCTCTTTTGTAAATGTCCAACTCAACATTACTAATTGTGCTGTGTGACCCAAGGGACTGTGTACTGGGTCTGGCTGAGACAGCATTAATTTTCTTTGTGGCAGCCAGTAGGGTGCTGCATTTTGGTTTGTGACTAAACATTAGTAAAATGCCACTGTGTTTGTTATTGCTGAGCAGTGCTTGCAGACCATTGAGGCTTTCTCTTTTTTCCGACTTTTCCCCCTCTCAATGAACAGGCAAGGAGTGGGCAAGAAGTTAGAAGGGGTCATAGCCAGGAAAGCTGACCTGAACTGACCAAAGGGATATTTCGTACCATATAACATAATGCTCAGCAGTAAAAATTGTGGGGAGTGTTCTTTGGAGGAAGCAGCCATTGCTCAGAGACTGAGTGGGTATCGGTCTGTTTGTGGGAGGTGGTGACTGATTGCCTTGGCATCACTTGTTTTGTTTTTATCTTTGTCTTAAGTTATTAAACTGTCTTTATCTTGAAACTGTTGCTATTGTGAAAGTTTTGTTGCTTTGTTCTTCCTGTTCTCTCCCATCCTGCCAGTGGGGGGAATGGAATTCAACTCAACACAGACTACTAAAAGGGGTGCTGTTGGCAAAGGTAGGGATTCTGAATTACTTCCCTAGTCCAACCTTAGTGATAAACCAGTAAGGGGCAAAAACAAGTACATGTTTCTTGCTTTTTTTGGTGTTGGACTGTTTTTTTTTAATCTATTTGTTTGTCGTTTCATGGTTTGATTATTTTATATTTTTTTAATTGTAGCTTTAAAAAATGTTTTCAAGAATTTTATTTGGGTTTTTTAATTTCTTTGTTTTACAGTGGCATGTCTGGATTCCTTGCTATTTAGACTTTCCTCCCTTTTGTTCTTAATTTCTATCATTTTAGAATGTACTGCTGGTTCACACTTGCAGGATGTGAGGATGTGCACTGCATAGGCACAAACTCAGATAACCTACATTTTACTAAATTGAAGCTTAAGTGTATGTCAGTTTGGTTCACATTTGTTAAAGACTTATGACCCATTGGGGTAAATACATGGGATAGAAGGCTACAAAATCTGTGAACTTTACGAGAGGAGGCCAGTTTGTTCTGTCTGCTACCTACTGTCTTCGCTCTGAAGATGCTTCTGTAGATAACTTGTCAGCAACAATTTAACAGCAGACTGGCTTTCCTGTTTTTCATATCTGATTACTACAGTTTGTTTTTCTCCACAATTACTCAAGCTGCTACTAGTTCTGCCTAAGGGTATGGATAGAATAAATAACTCCAAATCACGACTGGGGAAAATCTTACTTTTACAGAATGTAATACAATAGTGTGGAAAATTGAAAATAATTTCTTTTCCTTGAAAAATAAATTTATTTTTAGAAGTAGTCTATTGGTGTGGAGAGACTGTGAATACAGAAAATGTTAATTCAGAGATTAATATAGTTTCTGTATTGCTCATCAGAGAGGAAAATTAATTTTATTTCCCTGGTGGCTAATCAGGTTGTCACTCTGCAAAACACAAAAGGAACAGTCAGTTCCCTGGAGGGAAGAGAGAGAGGCAAACAGAGGGGAGGAGTATTTAGGTTGAAATTCACAAAGAAGGTATACCAATTGATATTCACCTGGCTGGGACCTCAATTTTCAAGGTGTTCACAATACACTGTGAAAGGAAATGAAACATGAGATGACAGTTTGCTGATTCAACAGAATTTTTCAGATTCATAGAATCACAGAATCGTAAAATGGTTTGAGTTGGAAAGGACGTTGAACTTCATCTAGTTTCACCCCTGTGCCATGGGCAGGGAACCTGCACCAGACCAGGTTGTTCAAAGCCCCATCCATACTGGACCTTGAGCACTTTCAGCAGTGGAGCATCCACAGTTTCTCTGGACAACCTGTGCCAGTGCCTCATCATCCTCACAGTAAAGAATTTCTTCCTAATATCTAATCTAAATCTCCCTTCCTTCACTTTAAAACTGTTCTCCCTTGTCCTATCACTACATGCCTTTGTAAAAAGTCCCTCTCCAGCTCTCTTGTAGCTCCTTTAGGGTCTAGAAGGTGCTCTAAGGTCTCCTCAGAGCCTTCTCTTCTCCAGTCTGAACAGGCCCAACTTTCTCAGCCTGTTATCATAGCAGAGGTGCTCCAGTTCTCTGAGCATGTTCATGGCCCACCTGATGATCAGAGGACTAAAAACACTTCCTGGCGTTTTGTGGTGTGGGGCTGGGTGATTCTCTCTCTCTGTGCTTGGTTGAAGGGGTAAATAACATTCATAAAGATTTCTGTGAGTCCTTGGGGTGAGCACTGCCCTATGATGAAATGCTCTAGAAATACCTATTTGTTTCCACCATAAGCAAAATATAGGTGATGTGCTGAAAAAACATCACTGGAGCCTTTCAAGATGCAGTTGGACAGGGTGCTAGACAATCTCATGTAGGCTCCCTTTCACACAAAAGGTGGGGCCATATGATCTTTTGAGGTTCTTCAAAACCTGGGCTGTTTTTTATGATTCTCTGATTAGTTCAAATGTGAGTTTGTATGAAATGAATCCCATTCAAGACAAATTAAATCAAAACTGATTATTTCCATTAACTAGAAAAGGCAGGAGTGAGAGTTTAGGTATAGAAAATGGAAAACTAGGTGCTGCATGATATTTTTTTCTTACTATATCTTAGACATGTATTTTATCGTAAATTATTGTGTTTCACACATTTTTAGTATTTCACACAAATGTTAATTTAGTCGGAATTTTATTCACTGACCCAGGAAAGTACTTAGGAATATTTATTTCTTTTTATTTATGAGTAGTCTCACAGAAGGACATCACTAAATAAACAATATCCATTAAAACAGAATCCATTCAATGGGAATAATTTTATATTTTCAGAATTTCTGATTTTAGTCAGTAGTCACCACATTTTTTTTCAGATCCCTCATAACTTCAGATGTCTATAGTAATGCTATTTAATATGTCATTGGCATGTCTGGCAGAAAGGGATGAACTTGTGCTTCATTGGGCTGATTCACTGAGATACAAGGAATGAACCTGAAAATTATTTATCTACATTGAGATGTTGAGATCTTATTTTCATTCATCCTTTAAGCCATCATCCATTTTGCATTAGCTATTTCAGAATTAAATCTCTGCATAGTCTTCTGGAATTCAGTTCTGAGTGGTAGAACATAGATCATGAATTTTATCCATACAATATCAGAAGGAAAGAGATCAAAAAGAAAGAAAAAGTAATTTATATAGCTAAAAAAAGTACAT